ATATTATCAAACAGAACTAACTTTGCATAGCTTCAGCAGAGACCAAGCAGTTTTCCATACTTTTTTCCGACTCAGTAAGACCACTGCAACTCAATTTTTTTAATAAAATTCAAGAGATACAACTCAAAGTATTTACACATTCGTCTTTACTTTTTTCAACACTGATATATTCTTCATTTTTGAGCCCTTATTCGTACACGTTTCAAACTTTTTTTCGGGAAATTCTGGTTTCTCGATGGCAAACCGCTCACAGCCACGCCACGTCTTTTTTCGGAACAATCTTACCAGTCTTATTATTTTGAGTTTTTTTATAAAAACATGTGCATGTGCTTTTGTTATTTTGTTTATCAACTAAAATACTTGCTCCATTACACTGTTACAAATTAACGTATTCACGAAATGTCATTTTGACAAGTACAGTTGATTACATGTGGAACAAAATATTATTTGACCATATTGTATTGTAAGTGCTTGTATTTACAACTTGTAATTTAATAGTTTAGTAACATTGTGGTATAGGGCCTTGGACGATGTAACTTGAGGTTAGTTTGTGCTCCCTATTTATTTTGATTGGGGATTAAAAAGCCACATATGATTTCTACAGAAATATTCCGTTTAATTTTTGTTCGCCACATATTTAATACAAACGGATTTTTCAGAAATCCTCATAGTAGTCCAAGGTTAAATTTCTCGATACTCTAGTATTAAAGAAGAAATCGAATTCTTATTAAACGCAATAAAGATTTTTCTTAGTTTGCTATGTCCATTTCCCAAAAGAAATCTAACTACGTCAAGGAAAAAATCAGTCCAAATGGTAAAAGTAACAAATCTTTCGAAAATACAAAGTTCACTAGCGAAATCACTATAAAAAAGAAATCCGTTACCGGTGAAAGTGTCCTCAGGGTAATGGGGATGAACTGAAATCTCACTATATCAAAGGAAAAACCATCAAACAGTCTATCCGTTTTACAAAAGTGACTTTTTTAAAACACAACTATCACTATAAAGAGAAGCTAACCGGTTGCAGAGAAAGATGTGCTTAAAGCAATGTGAGCAAAGGCAAAATGCGTTTTGTATAAGTATTTTTTTAAAACACAAAAATCACTAACGAAGTCACTGTTAAGAAATCCAAACCGTTACCGAAAAATATGTGCTTAAAATATTGGGAGCGGAGGAAAGCACTATCACTATTGAGTTATTGGGACCACTGAAACATTTTGTGAGTGAGTTGATTTCCGACGCGGCAGATTTCAGCTCTCAGGCAACACTGATTCAACTCTTGCAGATGAGAATTTTTGGAATACACACACATATAATCAAAACTCAACAGCTGTGCAAAAGATGGATAATATTTGACATCTAAAAATACCGGCATACCGACTTTGATGTAAAAATTAGGCTGCAACGAGTTGTTTTTATTTCAGTTATTAATAATTTTGTAGGTGGATTGATGCAGTTTTAGGCGTATGCGATCGAATCATGCCTTACTAAACATTATTTGGTGGGAACTGGATTCTTCCGTCCAAAGAAATAAATATTAAGGTTTACTGAATCTCCAAATCACAGATGTAGAATTGAATATTTACTGATGTTTCGGCCACCTCGGTGGAATTTGTCATTTTGGGAAATGGAGATTGATCAGTGATACAACCACAGGACAAATTGTGTGTATTCTGTTTGGAGAAAACGAAAAATAAGCCAAGATTACAACACTTAGGCCCCCTTGGGACCTTTCCCAGGGACTTCTTAACGTCGCATGCCCTTTTTTCTACAGCGTCTCTGGAGGAGTATTTCAATACTTTTCGTATGATTGTTTCATGGTGTATATAGAGATGACTGAAAAACAATGTTATCATTTTATGCATTTTTTCTGCAATTTGATGAATTTGCTGCAAAATGAGGTTTCAAGGAATTTTGACATAAAATTGCTCAATAAAATGCACACAAAATTATTTATTTTTGGATAACATTGTTTTTTAGTAATCTCTATACACATTTCTTATACTTGAACTACCATGAAGGTCTGAGGCCGAAACATCCCTGGATACCGTGGGACTATAGGGGGATACAGGGGAAAGGGGACGCCAAGCGGTCTCTAGCGAGGGATCACGTTGTGGTCCCGCCTTAAAGATCTACCGGGTGGTACCTCCGCGTTCGACAGTCAGAGACCGTCTACTACGTACGGACAATCACAACATCCATATCCAAGAGAAAAATTCTTTTGGGACGGAATTCGCACCCGCGCAGCTCACCGCTACTGATTAGGAGGCTCTATACATATTTTGAAATAATCGGATGAAAGGGATTTAGAATACTGCTTCAAACAGACAGTTGAAAAAGGGGACATGCGACTTTAAAAGTCAGACAATCAGCCACGCCAAACTATTGGAAAATATATCGTATGATCCAAAGATCTTCTGGAGAAGACCATAAAATATGTAACAACAAAAAATATTGTCTAAATGCATCGTTCTATTTGAATATTCAACTAGATACTAGGGTAGATCCTGCCAAAAGAAAAAAAATTGATATAAAATAATCATTTGGATGATGTTATTTAGCGTATATTTAACAACAGCAACAACAAAAAAAACTGTCATGAAATTGGTACCGCAGCATAACTCGGATATCTTTGGAATAAAATTTTGAACATAAATATTAGGGGGATTTCCGATACGTACATTTAATCAATATTTATCAAAAAATGATTACATTTTTTCTCGACTAAATTGAAGGTTTAAATACAAATACTCGCCAACCACATAAAAATCAATATTTTTGAAATCCTTTGGACATTTCTTCAGCTATGAATATGTTGTTTTTTACTTCCCACACCGATGGTTACAATCGCGAAAAAAATTGAAAATAAGACATTATGCATTTTGGATAATAATGAGATGTGTATCACGGATAACCATGCGGCTCATTTTTGTCTGTCTATCTGTCGGTCGTTCTGTTTATCGGTCTGTCTGTCGGTCTGTCTGATAATCATTGGACCCTCTATACATTGGAAAGCACTGCTCAAGATTACTATGCTAAGGACAAAAAAGCTTTGTAGTTTTTGAAAATCGGTCCAGTAGCGGCGAAGAGAAAAGCCAAAAACGAAAATAATATAAATCACTCAAACGGTTTTTGACGTTTTAGTGGGTTCTGATCATTTTTGAAAAAACATTTGGGAATAAAAAATTAGGGGGTGGGAGAGTTGTATATCAATTTATTGATGTTGGTATGTTTATACGCTTCCAGCGTCGGCAGCCACATTTCGTAGGTCTTTTTTTGTCATTAAAACAGAATGATAGAGAAATATCTTTTATACGCTATCTGGCCTCTGCACCCGGCGTAGCGGTTTGCTTGATTGTTCTCCGCATACTGCGACTATGTTGCTAGATGGACGGCAACTACCAATAGGGCAGGGAAATAATGTCTATGGACGTGTAAGGGCCTCTTTGATACGTTTAATTTCTCTATTGTACCTGTTCGTAACTATTGTGCTGAACTTAATTCTTCATGAACTTATGGCGGCATTGCAAAGGAAGTGCACAGTCAACCTACCCAACGCCATTTTTTTCTTAGATCCTAATGTGCAGCAGCTACCCTGCGTACCTCAAAGCACCTCAAATTCCATATGCTTCGCGAAAATGGCCGTCATTTTTGCGTATGCTCTTTATATTTTTTGTTGTTTACTATATACTCAATAATTTCCCGCAATTGTGTTGTTTTTTCATGCGTTAAAAAGCACTGTAGAATAAGCAGAATTGCTCGATTTTCTCTTAACACTGCCGTTGACTTTTGAATGCGAATCAGATGTTTGATAACCATTTTAAATTAAAATTGCAAGATGCTTTTATTTTAGATATATGCATTTCTTGACCTCATGTTTACGTTATCCACTAGTCTATTTCGGTAATCTAGTGCATAAGAATATTGGACTACTTATGTAGTATAGTAACGAAGTCAGACATATCCGATCTGTAACATTCTGTAGACGTGACATGCTGAAAATGTGGAAAAATGTGGAGGTATCGGGGGAAACTACGAAAATAAAATGATAAATCAGCAAATAGCTCGAAATGCTGTGAGATGTGTGTTTTGGCTTGTGCATATGTCTCATATGCGTATATTGGCCAGGTAGGTTTGGTTTGGTCGCCAACCTCATTTTGCTAATCAATAAAAACTAACTTGCTTCCCAGCATATTTGTATACGTTATTGGATCATTACTCATCACGAATCGTTTTGGAAAGTCATATCGATGGGCCATTTACACATTTTACACATAGAAATTTTAATTCATGTATTACATTTCGTAAAGAATGATGAGATGCCCACCTGAAAAAAAGATAGCTACGAACATGTGTAACAAAAAAATTAAATGGATAAAGTTAGTCAAACAGGCTCATACAATTAAAATTTAGGATTTGTATCTCTGAGAAAATATGCTAGCCCTCGTTCTTCAAGAAGCTTTGGAGGCTTTCACACAAAGTTATGTCTTGCTGATGGATGCCAATACCCCATTCCCCTAAGTCAATTTCCTGTGGGCGCATATGATCGACGGTCCACATCCAGTCGAGCTGCGGACATAGACTGCCATACAAATGCATCGGCAGTACCGCGAAGCGTATGATCCACATGCGAGAATCGGAAATACCATTCCAAGTTTTGAGGATAAATGTAATAAGGAATCTACGATGAGTGGAACATGTCTAAAAGGTGCGTGGGATAATCGCGGCTGGAGGCGTATAAGTATACCAATGTCAACAAATTGAGATATATCCACCCTCATCTTCTAAAACATTTTCGCAAGAATGGTCAGGATCTTCTAGAACATCAAAAAAAAACAAAGATTGCGCGATTTTTATCTTTTTTAATTTTTGCCCCTAGCTTAGCTGCCACTGGATCGATTTTCAAAAACTACAAAGATTTTTTATACTTGGTACTGGGCGCGTCACGAAAATAAAATTAAACACACATGGGGTGAAACCTGAGATTTGTAAGCACTTACCTGTGACAGTACCTCCAGTCGAGTTCAGAAGAGGAATGTTATCTAGGTGAACTGGCCTAAACTGTTTCTTGGACTGTGAAGAAGTCTTGCGTTGTACAGCGTCTGTTTGGACGGTTGTTCTCTCGCTCTTTACCTCGTTTGCCTGGAATAAGCAAAAATAATGCATGTTCAAAAGGAATATACGACATAGCTCTACAAAATTTGACCAAAATCCAGAAACAGGCACTCGGGTATCGACTGCTTTGAGCTGCGCTTATTTATTGGACAAGATCATTGTTCTGCCATCATTTTGACACACAATTATTCTATGGCAACTAGTTCTGCTTGACGGATGTCCTTCATATTCAGCCTTTTGACAGCTTAGGAGATTTTAAAACTGAACATTTTTATCTTGATAAGTAAAAAACGTTAGAAGAATATATAGAATGGATACGTAATATGTAACATAAAAGCTATATTACTAGTTTAGACACTTTAGGGTAGACGCTATCTAGGTTGAATGTGCCAGTAACCCGGACACTACCAGTGGTCGGAAAAATCGACAATATTAGCGGTTATCTTTTCTTTTTTTTTCACTTCCACTCCCGAGTCGGCGCGGTTTTTCGTTTTTTTTGCGAAAGGTTTTATCGGAAGACGATACCGTTTCGGAAACTAGAAACTTGGCTCTTTACGAGGGAGTATGAGTCGTCTTGGTAAGATTACTAAGAACGCTTTAAAGTCGGAAAAAGGGTAGATTTTCGTGCTGTTCGATATTCAATTTTTATCTCCTCCAAATACGGAGCTACGAACCTAACGATTTTCGCGTGAGAAACCCCAGACATTTCGATAGACCCTTTTTTATTTCTTTATTCCTTTTGGTTCAAAAGTTTAAATTCCTCAAAATACCTGGACTTTTCGATACATGACAAAGTTACCATGTTTTCGGCGTTGTCCGGGTCAATTGCTACTATATATATATATATATAAAGAGAAAATTATCATGCGGAGAAAGGTATATCACAAAAAGTAGGAAAATAATGGGCAAAATCTGCAAAAAGGAGGAAAGTGGATTCGAGCAGAAAATAGGATAGGTAACCCAAGCGATACGTATTTCTGCTGGTTGGCTTCATCGGGCCCGAAATGAATGCACATATGAAACTACAAAAGTAAAACGAAGATGGAGAGGGAAAAAAACGACACACGAAGTCCACAACAAGAGCCAACCTACACATTCTAGTATAAAATGGCTAGAAGACGTCGAATTTTCAAGGAGACATCTAACCACAACCACGCGGCCGGTTATAGCCACTTGCTGTGGTACTTCAAGCCAAAAGGATCTACAAAGAGAAAATGATCATGCAGAGAAAGGTATATAACAAAAAGTAGGAAAATAATGGGCAAAATCCGCAAAAAGGAGGAAAGTGGATTGGAGCAGAAAATAGGATAGGTAACGCGAGCGATACGTATTTCTGCAGAATCGGCGGCATCTAGCGGCCACAGTGGTGACCCAGGTGACAATGCGAACTAGGATACAGTCCCAAGACGAACGCAAGCTATATTTCTGGATAATTGAGTAAGCTGTCCACTATAAAGTCATTTTGCCGACCAAGAAAAAAATTTGTCTTTGCATTACTCATCAGCAGCTGTTCAGTTTTGAAATCATCCTGACTGTAGACAGAATGTGCGGAAAATACTGAATCGATCTACTTGACTTCATTTTTCAATTTCTATTTAAAGAATCTGAATGATATCTTTGAGATAGGATTAATATGGCACTTAAAACATAAAAAATATCGATTTTTTTATTGGCCTTTAAATCTGTCGTCGCCGCATTATTTTTAATCACCTGCGAGTTTTGCAAGATCAGATTTTTATAGAGACATGAACAGACGACGGTTCAAACTGGTATAACATAAAACAATATGTAATGAAAAGAGTAACAGGGAAACACTTTTTGGAGCTTAAGATGGTTTTGATAACACGAGGTAAGGAGGTAAGGCTGTAAGTGTCGATTTGCGAATACAATAATTTATTGTTTCTTTTTGTAATAATTAATGCATTATTACTTTCAGTTTTAAACTGTACGTCGTGAAAAAAGTAGTTATTCTTACGCCTCAGTGGGTTCTTTGTTCGTTCTCCCTAGAAGTGAATCATCAAACACCCCAAACTATTGGAGGAGGTGGTAACACTACCCAGCAGTTGATCACATTATTTGCCAGGAGCACTATCAGGTGAAATGTACAATGGAACGATCTACCTCTCAAAAACGGTGACACTATTATACAGGGTGACTTTGAAGTTGAGTCATTAATTTTCAGATAATGATTGTAGAAGGAAGATAAACCAAAATATGTGTGTAAAAATAAAAAAAAATAAAAAAAAAATTTACCTTGTTTTATAAAGTATCCTCCCGACAAGTATTTCAGTGCGGACCTGTATTTGATCGTGAGGTCCCCTGTGAGGTCTTAAGTCACCTGATTCACGAGCCCGTTGTACTACATTAACAAAGGCACGAGGGGTTGGTTGCACTCGATTGGGAAACCGATCCGCATAAACATGTGCCATTTTTTATTTCGTTTGAGCCACGCAACAGACACTATTCACACGCGTTACCGACTGACCAGAGATAAACCCTTCGACTGACACTGACTGTATGTATAACTGAACTGAATAAAATATTGTAAAAACATCGTTCCAAATTCTTTCGCTTTTTTGTTTCCTATGCGATGAACCGATAAGGCGGATTATATCCGTTGTTGCCAAACACGAGCACATGATATTATTGAGACAGGTCGGTACTCAAACTTCCAAAGGGCTATAACTTTGTTACTTTAATTTTACCAGAAAAATGGTAAAGGAAAAAAACATTTATTTTGATCAGATCTACTCACTGTTAAAATAAATGACTCAACTTCGAAGTCACCCTGTATAGGTAAGTTTTTGTTATTTGGGAGGACAGTCTACCTTCTCCTTAAATTTGTCGTGGTACTAGGTTAGGTATAAGATAATGTAAACTTAGCGACCAGGAGAAATGTGTGGTACCATGACAGTGCTCCTACATATTACAGCATGTTACATCATATCAAACTTCTTTTTTTAGAAGCTCTATTCAAATATGCAACAAAATATAAGGTTATACTTTTACACTAGTATATGTAGTTTGATTCGGCCAGGCAATGGATTCCTAGGACCATGGAGTCACAGGATAAGTTTCAGGAGTCACAAAATATTTTTTTTTTATAGAAGCAACCGCGCAGGCAGAAGCCTAAATGCCGGAACACCGCGGCTGCTATGATGATCCCAAAGAATTTTTTTTTAGTAGAACTGGGAAAAGCTTCCTCTTGTAGATTGTTCTACAGTCTCGACACTTTCGGTACAAAGGAGCGGTCGTATCTCCCAGTTCTGGATGTACGAAGCTCGACACGGTCAGGATAGGACCCAAAGTTAGGCGGGTCTGTCTGGCAGCTACATTGCGCGGCGGCATCATGGAAGAGAGCTCCTAGGAGCAAAGCCCGTTGGTGTAGCGGTAGAAAAAAGCTAGATCGTCGACGGCCCGCCGGTGCGAAAGAGTTCCGAGACTGTCTGTTAGAGAAGAGTCATCGATCAGTCGGACCGTCCTCCTCTGGATAGCATCGAGCATGGATAATGTAGTCGGGGCGGCAGCACCCCAAACGTGTGAGCAATAGTCGAGGCTAGGCCCTATCTGGGCCTTGTATAGAGTGAGAAGGTCATGCGGAGATAAGTACTTCTTAGCCCTAAACAAATAGCCTAGCTTTTTCCCAGCAGCTGCAGCTATCGACGAGATGTGTTCGTGCCAGATCAGGTCCTCGGTGATCTGGACTCCGACCAGCCGAAATGAATGTCTCTATGGCAGAACTCGACCATCCATCGAAACCGGATGACCGCTAGGACGCTTTTTGTTCGTCAAAGTACAGTACTGTGTTTTGGAAGCATTGAACTGTACAAGATTGTTGCGTCCCCAAACAGTGATAGCCTCCAGATCTCTTATCAGAGAGGATGTTGTCGCTAGCCTTCTTTTTTTCCAGCTCAGCGGCAGAGATCGGCTTTTCACGACAGAGTCAAATTGCATGATGCTATTTTTTTCTGTTTATTTAATCTGCATTTTTGGTCTGCCTTATGGATGGCGCTTAGTTCGAGATGACAATAACACGTGAGTTAATCAGACAGATATAACTATCTTTATCTAACTAGAGCATGGGTGCATGTATGTCGTCATAGTGTTTCCAAAAGTTAAACCCGCTGTTTCTAAACCATCACCTGGCTCCCTTAAATCACGTTCAGTTCCAAAACATTTATTTAGGTAGATGGTATGATAGACTCGTACTATTTTAAGCGGCTCCTCAGAGTGGAAAACGGTGGGTTAAATGGGGACAATCTTACTTTAAAGTCTCATTAAGCCGAAATTAGTTCCGGCATCTGCTTTTGGCCACAGTTGTCACTAATTAATTTTAGCAAACGATTAAGTGTTCGTCATTACTTATTTGTCTCGTTTCAAATCGATTGGAATTTGCACATAAGACATTTTGATCATATATTATACGACCCATGCTGTTTTGAATTGATTAATGTGGGACTAGCACGATAGTCAAAGGTAGAAGGCCGCATAGCCACACACAACAGGCCTAGTGGCAACGATGTCGGACTATACGTGGATGGTACGTAATTTCCATAATGAATGCTCGAGTACGACATATCAGCTTGGTTGCTAAATATAAATAATTAATAAATAAAACGGTTAGTAAAAGTACTACTAGAAAGAAAGTCAGTTAATATAATAAAATATGAAGTTGCGAATGCTTTCAATGAAATTTTCGTGAGCATTCCAATGAAACTCTTGGCTGAATATATAAATTTCAGTGAAAAAGTGAGTTTCAATCCAGGTGTAAACAGATTTATGACACTATGCCAGTGCAGTCCCTGAAGAACATATTTATACTGAGCGACAAAAAATGTAAACACCTACGTATGTTTATTGGAACTAAAAATTCAGTAGTAGTGCTCAAGCCATCGCTAATCAGTGGTTTGAAGAGCATGGAGGGATGGAGGCAATATTACAGCCTCACGCTATATTCAGGAACTAGTGGAGCCTCATCCTATTCCATCCAAAACCCGATTTTTTAACAAGACAATGCCAGACCGCAT